TTCTCTATCTACTACTAAAGCTCAACAACTGTTAACTAAATAATATTAAACTACTCTCATACAAATCCCAGTAATGCCCGTGAGTGAACAAAATACACTCACATAACACTAAAACACTCTTTGATAAACATCTGTCTTTCAACTAAACAATATTAAAATGCCCTTTGATAAATACTTGTCTACTATAAAACACACACACACACAAAAGTAATACTAAAATACCCTTCTCTATCTACTACTAAAGCTCAACAACTGTTAACTAAATAATATTAAACTACTCTCATACAAATCCCAGTAATGCCCGTGAGTGAACAAAATACACTCCACCTGTATAATTCATTCTTTCTATTCAGTCCCAGAAATATTTTCCACACAATTATAATCTGAATTTAATATTTTTTTGATAAATGGCGACGTCAGTCAAAATAATCATCAACAATGCAAACCGCATCGTCTAGGAAACGACATTATACATATACATGCGGTCAAGAAAAGTCAATTAGAGATTCAAATAAAATATTATTTCTTAAAATAACACAATTTAATATAAACAATTTTTAACGGAAAACAAGACTCTTACAGTCGGCCATCCTGCTAGAAGCTCGTCCCGAGCTTGCCTAATCGGATTTCATTAGGCTTACGCCTAATATCGCCTAATTATCGGATAAATACGCCTAAATATCGGATAATACTAAATCTCCATATTTACCATATCCTTCACTAGCAGCTGAATCTGAAACTTCTCCACATGCCTTCCAGTGTCTCACTGCCACCGTTCGTTTAGTCAACTTTACGTTTGTTTCAATAAGTGGACTCAATATCCACCGTGTACCTATCATGTGAGAATTCGGATTTTATTACCATTGGTCCGCTGCAGACGGAAAGTAATCTACGGCTGATATGACTGTTGGTGCTGTTTTCTTGATAAGCACCAAATCACCTATCTTGGGCTGTCTTGCTTCTTTCGAGTTTTATCAAAGTAAACTGTCTGTTTGCTTTCAGTCAGCTCAGTTATTCTGCTTGTTCTTTCTCTTTCAAGTAAAGATTATCTACTACCCGAGGTATTCATGTAATTGCATAAACCAAGCACTAATCGGTTGTTTGTCTTTGATGATTTGATTTGATTTGATTTGATTAATTCCATTTAATATAAATACAATGGTACTTAGATTATAGGATCTCCACGAAGAATATATACAGAAAACTAGAACAATTTTAAGATATAAAATTACACAAAGACAAATATAAAACAAATATACCTGAATTTATACACAAACAGAACAATTTTAATTCAAGAATTATTATTATATATCTGCCGATAAGCCTTGAGTTTTGAGGTCCCGGAAGAATTCGTTTAGCGTGTAGTAGCTCTTTGATATAGAGAATTTATTTAAATTAATTTTTTTTTGTTTAAGTTCAGAGGTTCAGAGTGATATCTATGGACGAATTCACTTGAAGTTTTTCCGGTGTTCTTATTTGGCATATTGTTTATGTTTATATTGTTGTGTCCTTTAGAGTTGAGATCATTTAGAGTTCCTTTAGAGTTGAGATCATCAGTGAATTGTGGATTGTGTAATTGTAATGTTCAATTTGACTATCAGCTCTACACGTTGCCACCGCTAATTTGTATGGATGTATCTGCTTGTTACAGCGTCCTTCGTCTGTTGTCCCAATATCTCCTGATAGTATAGGTTCCCTTCCGACATGGCTCGTCGAATCCTTGATTCCAGGAAGGCTTAGGTCAGCCTCGTTTACGTTTGTCTCTAGGTGTCTACTGCAATACTTGCTTTGGTATTCTGTCGTCAGCCATTCGTTGTACATACATGTGGCCGTACCACTGTAGTTGTTTTTTTTTGTATATCTTTACAATGTTACCATCCACCTTCATTTTTTTTTTCATGTATTCTCTCGTTCCTAATTCTGTTTAAACGAGAGATTCGGGCTGATCTTCACCAGAAGTCCATTTCGGTAGACAACAACTTCTTTTTTGTTTTTTTTTGCTTAACAGCCATACCCCAGAGTCATATAACATTGCGCTTTTCAGAATCGCGTTATAGATCAGTTTTTTTTTCTGTGATCCGAGATATTTTTAAATTAAAGCACCAACGCTACTTTCACAGGTATACTTGCTCGTTCTTGACAATAAGCACTGAACATTTTAGATGTGAAAACAGATCAGTGATAATCCGAATAGGTCGTTCAAATAAAGCAGATATGTCATCCAAAAATATCAACACTTTACTCGTCTTTGTTGTACTGACGGCTTTCATGAAAATAAACTTAGTAAAGGCATCTATGGCGTTAAATAATTATGATTCTTCTTTCTGCTTTTTGGATAAGTCCGAAGTAATCAAGATAGACGGTATGCATTGGAAGTTCTTTCTTCTGTTGGTCGTTTTCTTTATTCAAGCACAGTCTACAGCACTTAATGTATTTCCCACATTAGCTTTCATCCGGGGAAACCAATAATACCTAGTAAATTTTTTAGCAGCTAAGTGGTTCAAATCATCGTGAGAAGTTCGAACTACATGAAATCACATTTTTTTGCAGAACTACCCATTGTAGTATTTTGGCTTTAGTTCTGTAGACTTGTCCTTCACGTATGGGATAGTCTTTGTAGATTCTCCTAGCATGTTCAGTATCCAGCAGTTCTGATAGTAACTTGCTCACTTGGTGATATTGGCACTGCATGACTGATCGCAAAGTTATTTTCTGTACATCATTTATTCCAGGAGAAGAACTAGCTTCAGACAAGAAAGTTCATCTTTCATTACACGAACGCTCCGTTGTCAGGTAAATATCCACCGATCTTTAAATGCCATCGATTTGTAGTTCTAAATTGGTAGTATCCAAAAATTCAACTCTGCCATCACGATGTCCTTTCAATACACAACATCGAGATATATGTATAGGTAAAGTCATAGGATTTGCTTCACTCTTCTATATAGTGTTACATGTACTTTCAAAATCTATGTATGCTTTCGACGTTCGGCCATATACTTTTACTACTCTGTAATATTTTTGACTGGTTTTGACTATCAGGTCGTACCGAATCTCTTCTGTCTCGTGACAAATTTTGAAAAATTTCCAAATTATTTCATATTCTGACTTTCTCTTGTTGTTTGAACTCTTTTCTAGCCACATTCATACGTCTTTTCTTTGGTCTATCTGCCATCAGTTAAGTCGTAGTTAAGTAATTAAGTTGTAGTCGAAGTAAGTTGGCCGCTATTTCTGTCGCCCATACAAATTAAATACATCACTAGTAACTGTAATTTTATTAATAATAATACTACATATTTATTTATCCACAAATAATGATCTAATAACATAATTTGGGCATGTCAGATATCTTAAATAAATACAAACTTATAATAAATATATGTATAAACTGAAAATACGCAAAAATATATTATACATAGACCTGAAAAGCTCAGATCCCACTTCTGAATTGTAAGAGCGAGTAAGAAAAATATAATATTTTTTTTTTTGTTTATATAGCATAATATATGAATGGTGTTAATATCAATTTAATATTCAAACAACATAAACAAAAGAAGCTAAACTCACCTTAGATGCCGGGACACTTGTGTAATGCTCTCACTCTATGATCACGCAATTTGCAATCTATAAAAATAAAAAATATAATTGAGCATCACTGGAAAACGCACATGATCACATCACCATAATCGAGTATATAAAATAGTTAAATATTTTGTTGTTCCGTAGCTAAGCGACAAGGCGTCTGTCCCACACACAAAAGGGATGGCCACAAAGCGACATAGCATAATGTTGTTGTTCCGCAGCTAAGCGACAAGGCGTCTGACCCACACACAAAGGGATGGCCACAAAGGCGTCTGTCCCACGCTCAAGGGATGGCCACAAGGCGTCTGTCCCACGCTCAAAAGGGATGGCCACAAAGGCGTCTGTCCCACACACAAAAGGGATGGCCACAAAGGCGTCTGTCCCACGCTCAAAAGGGATGGCCACAAAGGCGTCTGTCCCACGCTCAAAAGGGATGGCCACAAAGGCGTCTGTCCCACACACACACAAAAGTAATACTAAAATACCCTTCTCTATCTACTACTAAAGCTCAATAACTGTTAACTAAATAATATTAAACTACTCTCATACAAATCCCAGTAATGCCCGTGAGTGAACAAAATACACTCACATAACACTAAAACACTCTTTGATAAACATCTGTCTTTCAACTAAACAATATTAAAATGCCCTTTGATAAATACTTGTCTACTATAAAACACACACACACAAAAGTAATACTAAAATACCCTTCTCTATCTACTACTAAAGCTCAACAACTGTTAACTAAATAATATTAAACTACTCTCATACAAATCCCAGTAATGCCCGTGACTGAACAAAATACACTCACATAACACTAAAACACTCTTTGATAAACATCTATCTTTTAACTAAACAATATTAAAATGCCCTTTGTTAAATACTTGTCTACTATAAAACACACACACATACAAAAGTAATACTAAAATACCCTTCTCTATCTACTACTAAAGCTCAATAACTGTTAACTAAATAATACTAAACTACTCTCACACAAATCCCAGTAATGCCCGTGAGTGAACAAAATACATTCACCTGTATAATACTTCATTCCTTCTATTCAGTCCCAGAAATATTTTCCACACAATTATAATCTGCATTTAATATTTTTTTGATAAATGTCGACGTCAGTCAAAATAATCATCAACAATGCAAACCGGATCGTCTAGGAAACGACAATTTTATAATTTCTATTGTAATGCGGTCAAGAAAAGTCAATTAGAGATTCAAATAAAATATTATTTCTTAAAATAACACAATTTAATATAAACAATTTTTAACGGAAAACAAGACTCTTACACATATAAGGATTATTAGAGGGCAAATTCAGTTTCGGTTTAATATGTAATTTAATACGTCTTTTTTTCTACTACAACTAAAATTATAAATAAACAACACTATGTAATTAGTATTTTTATTATTTCAATCAAAATGTCTTATACACAAAGTGAATCCTACCACAGAAATACGGTAGTTGTGAAACAATAATAAATTAATATATTATAATTTGATTTTTGATTTAACTGTTACAATTTTGTGTAAAAAAATTCAAATATTTATTTACACAGAATATTAAGTTGGAAACATTCAGTCACTATATGAATAAAGAATCAGTAAACAATAAGATCTGAGTATTTCATCCCGCAGATCAATACATATCGAAATTATTTAACAGAAATATTGGAAAATTTAGATTTGGGAGAATAAAACAGTCTTATTATAAGTGGACTCAATTAAACACTACCATAGTTTCCTTCTATTATATTCCTACTCTTACTATAATAGTTCTCTGTATCATATAAATCATGTTTTATAAAAGAATGCTTTTAGATCGTATTTTATAACAAAAATACGGTAGAACTACACGCTATCGTTGACTGAAACAAATTTCAAAATTTATATTTTCGTAGTACATCCATAAAAAATTTAGAACATTTTGAATAATACAAAGTTTAGCAGATTATATATGTATGCTATTACTAATTTTTCTATCTGTAGCTTTTTCTCCTTTCAACATGAGTTGTATTTCGTCCAATGTTTTACCTTTCGTTTCCGGTATCCAAAATATCGTAAATATTACCATAAGAAAGCTGCAACTTGTAAAAAGATAAAATGGAGCATATATTCCAAAACTTTTAAACATAACGGAATATATATTTATGGATATAACAGCTGCCACCACATATACGCAATCAGCTATAGTCATTCCTATTGCTTTTATTGTTGTAGGAAAAATTTCAGCTGTTACAACTATAGGTACCAAACCTAAACCTATTTTGAAGGTAGCAGCGTAAAACATAACACAAGCAGCTGGAATCCAACTAACATTAATTACATCAAATTCCAAATGCTTTAAATGGAAATATATCGTCATTACCAGTAAAGCAACGCCTGTTAAGGACTCTGATATAACTAATAAAAATTTTCTTCCAAACTTATCCATTATCAGTGATGCAATTCCGGCACTAACAAGCATAATAACGGAAAAAATTATAGCTGCTGAAGCTGGTTCAATGTAAATCGATCCGGCTTCGTTCAGGATTACATGGAGATTCATTAAAATTACACTTATGCCAATAAAATGTTGAGATCCGTTAAGGATAAACATAATAAACAGAGCTATTCTATTACTACGGATTAAAATTAAATCTTGCGGTCTGCCTTTTTCGGTTTTCTGTCTTTCTACAGCCTGTTTAATCTCTGTTATTTCTTTGTCTATATCCGGATCAGATCTTAAGCGGAGCAGAGCGGTTTTTGCTTTCTCTTCTTTATTTTTGTAAACGTAATAGTACGGTGATTCGGGCATAAAAGGAAATAGAATGAACTGGCATGATGTTAGTACTATACCGATAATAGGTGGTACATAATACGGTAATAGTGATCCGGTAGTGTAAATGATAACAATACCCAACAACATCTGGAGATAGATTAGTGACGCTAAAAATCCACGGATCTTCGGGACAGCTATTTCTGCGATGTACATGGGAGCAGCTACGAAGCACATATCGCCAGCCATTCCTGCCAGAAATCTTGCAAAATATATAACATATAAATTTGTAGAAACTAACAACAGGATCCAACAAATACAGCCAAATATGGCTGAAATAATCATGGAGGTTTTTCTTCCCAAATAGTCTACACCCAAAATTGTAAAGGGTAGTCCTGCAGCGGCACCCAGCAAGTTGATAGTTTCCATCCATTCGGCTTGATCTAGAGTCATCACAATGTGGGTCTCGTTACTCAGGAAGTATGGTATCATTGGTGATGTCCAGCCATAAGTCATACCGTCAGATGTGGCCATAAGGGTACCTTGAATTAGAAAATAATATTATTTCAATAGGTAATTTATCGTTATATAATTATTTATACAAATTTTGTACATCTTCATTTCATAAAATAGTTATAATATGATGGCTACATTAGGGTGCATATTTTTTTTTCGTTACCGTGAAAATATCGTTCAGGATGATTAAACAAAAATTCTGGTTAAGTTTGAGCTCTTAATATCATGATTTTCTATTTACCATTTACATTTTTAAATAACATGGGGAAACATTTCTTTTTTTTTGGAATTTTATTGCGTTCTGAAAAATCAGCGTCTGGTAAAAATCAATACACATTCTTGTTGGGAATTGAACGATCTTCAAAAAAGGTCTAATATGAATTTTTATTTAACCGACTCGTTTGAAAGTTATTTAAGGTTAAACTTCAAATCGTATATGACAACTTCCACAATTTTTTATATTTTATCACGAAATAATGGCTCAAAAACATAAAGTATCATATTTTATCAGAAAATAAGCCTCAAAGACATAAATTATCATATTTAGCCCTTAAGAACTAACACCCCGTCTCACAGACGCAACGGACTACCTGGACATATGACATCTCCTCTCCTCTCCGTTTCTAATTATCATCCAACTATGTAATTTCAATATGCATCAAAACAAGTTAAAGGCCGGCAGGACAATTTGCGAAAGTGTGTAGTTTTCAAAATATTTTATTTTAAACTGTCACTGTCGTCTGACAGACGGAGTGTTAGCGTTAACGAAATTTTTGTTTTTCTAATTTGTGGAATGAATCAAGCACCTAGTAGCTCAAAACATGTGAAGTATGGCGAGCAAAATTACAAGGATACTCTTCTAAAGTGGTTTGAAGAGATTGGCAGCGATAATAGCAAAATAGTGACGTAGAATCCGAATGTGGCGAAAATTTTGCTATAGTCAGCGATCATAATTCTGAATTCGAATTAGAAGATAAAAAACGGTTTTTAACTAATATCACAGATCATACAGATTATAAACTTTGTTTTTTCTTTATAGTTTTTCGTGGTTCCAATTTTCGGAATCAGGTACTAGTTAGGTTTGACTAACTTGTTTGCGCACATAGCACGCCCACTTATGGCCTCTAAAATTGTGCACAGCGCCTGACCGGCACAGTTATTAGAAAGATATCGGAAAACCGAATAGCGTCATGCAGTATTTACGCGTACCTTATGGTTACGATATGCGGGAGTCAATTTTTAACGCAACACCCGCTAATAAAGTTACCACCTGACGTAATTTGGATTTTACGGATCAATTAGACCAAGCGCTATTTCTAAATAACGTTTAAAAATTGCTTAAATGGGCATGTGCGGGTACATTTGACAATTGGGGCCGGCCGGCGAGCGGCGAGATCTTTTATTTTAGGTTATGTTTGAATTGTTTTGAATTATTACTTTAGTTTTATTAGGTAATTTGATATTTAAGTAGCTGGGATTAGTTTTAATTAAATAAATATGGCCCAAAATATGGATTCCACCTCTTCCAATATTGAAGAACCTATAAAGAGGCTTAGGTTTACAGCAGATGACGACTTAGCCCTTCTAAGAAAATTTGTTGCTTGTTGCCCTAAACCCATGGCAGACGTTGAACAATGAAGCACTGGAACTGGAAATAAGCATTTTAGTAAGCCCTTTAGTTTTAAAGTACCCTAGTAACCAAAACAATTTCAAAGTTTTAAATTCAAAGTTAGGTTAAGTTTAAATAGCGGACGCGACGCGAACAGAATTCTTTCCGATCCGATAACTATAAATGAAGAGAGTTAATACCACCTCACGTAAAGGAAATAACACCTGGCCGTATTAACGTCCATGCACGCTATTCGGTTTAGCGATATCTCTATATTACGCTGTTTATTGTTATTTTACGCGAGTTTATTTTTGCGCACAGGAAATTTGACTCGTTTGCACATCGTCATAAAAAACAATTTTCGTACCACGAATTAAGGATAAGATTTTTATCTGTATACATATAGTATACCTAATCTGTGCTAATATCTAAAGGTATGTGTAAAGTACTTAGATTTTATAATTTATATATTTATTAATTTAGATATATTTAATAATATAACGAATAAGACTTTATTCTCAAGTTTTACATATATTTATAAACTATCAAACCACATTCCTTAATATATAAATAAGGTACTTTACACTTAGAAACTAACAATTTGATTTCATCATTTATTCTACAATAAGTAATATTCAAATATATTACACTTTTCTCCCCTTAAAAAAAATATTTAGTTACATAAATATAATTACATAACTTATAATATAATAATTATTCCAATACAATTAATTTATTTCTAAAAATACATTATCTCTAATAAAATACAAAATTTAAACTTAAACTAAGTCTTATTATTTAATCTAGGCCGTAAATTATACCCAGAGCTAGAAGGTAGGGTTGAATCAGGAGAATTTTTATTTTGTGAATTATCGGTAGTAGGCATTAAAGATTCATTATTTGTAATGTTTGTTTCAACATGTTCGCTTTCTACAAGTTCTGTTCTAAAAGAACTGAGAGAAGGCCTAAGCTGATTCGAATGCCGTCTAAATTCTCTATCATCGTTAGATTTGACTTTATAAATTACCGATCCCTCTTGCGCAATAACTCTGCCTGGTATCCAGGTAGGATGTTCAGGATTTTTAAAGTCTCTTAATAAAATCTTATCACCTAAATTAAAATTTCTCACACTACTATTTTTATACTCGACTTGTTTTTGAATTTTATCTGATATAATCTCTTGATTTTTAGGTATTAATAAATCTAATTTACAGCGTAAGTGTCTGTTAAACATTAATTCTGCGGGGCTTTTGTTAGTAAGGGCGGAATTCCTTTTTTCTTGCCGAAAATATTTACTAATGCTTTATGATCCCAAACTAATGTGAATGGTCTACCATATAAATAATCATGAAATTTTTTTAAACAGAAAATTATCGCGGCGCCTTCTTTATCAATTTGACTATAAGATTTTTCCGCGTCCGAAAGTGTACGTGAGGCATACGCAATTGGTCGTTTATCTCCAGTTTCGTATGCATACAAAACACCCCCAAGACCGTACGCACTAGCATCGCAAGCTAAAAAGATAGGTAGTTTATGATCATAATGAACTAATAATTTAGGTGAAGGTAATTCTTTTTTTATTAATTCAAAACATTGATTTTCTTTGTCTCCCCAAAACCATTTCATATTCTTTTTTAAAAGCGCTTACAATGGATACAATTTACTACTTAAATTACTAATAAATTTCCCGTAAAAATTAATTAGACCAAGAAAGGACTTTAATTCGGTAACATTTTTAGGCGTAGGGGCATATAAAATAGCTTCAATTTTTTCTCTTGGCGTAGAAAGACCGTTTTCACTAATTGTATACCCTAAAAAATTTACTTCCTTTTGAAAAAAGTTACATTTATTAAGTTGAATTGTTAATCCAGCTGTTTTTAATTTATCAAAAACTTTAAACAAATTTTTTAAGTGCTCTTGTTCTGATTTACCTGAAATTAAAATATCATCTTAAAAAGTAATAACATGAGCTAACCCTGAAAATAAAGTTTCAATAATTCTTTGGAAAATTCCGGGACTAGAAGATACCCCGTAAGGCAACCGATTCATTTGAAATAAACCTTTATGGGTGTTTAATGTAGTTAATTTTTTAGATGATTCATCTAACTCAATTTGTGCATAAGCCCTAGATAAACCTATTTTAGTAAAATATTTACCGCCATTTAAAATTGTAAACAATTGTTCAATTTTTGGTATAGGATATTTGTCTACATGAATATTTGGATTTAGAGTTATTTTATAATCACCACAAATTCGAACTTCACCTGTTTTTTTAAGCACTGGAACAATAGGTGTTGCCCAATCACTAAAATCGACAGGTGTCAGAATACCGCTTTCAACTAGATTTATTAATTCCTTTTCAACTTTTTGTTTTAAAGCTAAAGGTAAACTTCGAGCTTTACAAAAAACAGGAATAGAGTTTTCTTTTAAATACAATGTGGCTTTACTCACCTTAAATTTTCCTAATTTATTTTCAAAAACTTCATGGTATTTATTTTGCAAAATTTTAGAAACCTCTGTAGAATCAATTTTGTCAATATGCTTAATATTTAGTAATTTATCGACCGATATATTTAATTCTTTGATCCCATTTCTACCTAATAAAGGTGGACCTCCATTTTTAATTACAAAAATTTTCAACTTTTTATTTAACAATTTGTAATTAACATTAACCCAAATAAAACCTAAGATTTCTAAAATATTTCCTAATAAGATTTAAAATCTAAATCTGAACTATTTAGAGAAATTTTATTAAATCCTTTAAAATATAATTTTTCAGAAATAGCTGAAATGGGCGAACCCGTATCGCATTCCATTAAAATATTTTTATTATTTATTTTTATGTCAATTTTTATAAGTTTTTCATTTTTTTCTCTAACATTATACATTCCTAAAATATCAGAATCTGAATCCGAAAAATTATGTTCGTCTTCACCAGTCAAAAAATTATTAAAAACTTGTTTATTTGATTGTTTATTTGGTACCTTTTCGTTCTTCTTATTACATACTGTGCTGATGTGACCCTTTTGTTTACACTGATGACATATTGCATTCTTGAAGAAACAAGCTGATTGGCAGTGATTGGTTTTCCCACAGTGACAGCACTTGCTTCTTCCTGCCTTGGAACAAACGTTATCTTGAGATTCTTCGCGCCTATTTTTGTTGAATTTAGTCGTGGATTTTCCTCTGTGTGATATTTTCAGAACATTTCCAGGTGCAATTAAATCGGAATTTCTTGCCGCTGCTTCTAAATTGAAAGCTATGTCGCATACCCTTTTATATGTCAGATTCTTCTGTTGAAAAAGTTGTCTTATAACATCGTTTTGCAAGCCGAAAACTAACTGATCCCGTAGCTGAGTTTCCAGATTTGATCCAAAATTGCAATACTTGGATAATTTCTTCAATGCCACAATGTATGTAGTAATTGTCTCACCACTTTCTTGTTTTCTCTGTCTGAATTTATACCTTTCTGCTATTTCAGATGGTCTGGGTTGTAAATGATTTTCCATAATTTAATTAAATCACCGAAAGCCATCTCTTCTGGTAATACCGGACTACACAAGTCAACCATCAACTCAAATCCCTCATCACCAACTACAGTTATTAAAATTGCAGTTTTTAGATTTTCTTCCACTTTATTTACTTTAAAATATTGACAGATTCAGGTCACATAAGAACTCCAATTACTTTCACCCACTCTGAATGCTTCTAATTTTCCAATTGACATTTTCTTCAAACTTAATTTCACTTAATAATTTATTTATTGGTTTCGTTTACCGACTGCGCCAGTGTAAAGTACTTAGATTTTATAATTTATATTAATTTAGATATATTTAATAATATAACGAAAGCCAACTGCGAAGTGAAGTCTTTATTCTCAAGTTTTACATATATTTATAAACTAATATAATATAAATCCATAATATATAAATAAGGTATTTTACACTTAGAAACTAACGATTTGATTTCATCATTTATTCTACAATAAGTAATATTCAAATATATTACAGTATGTAGCTGTGTATGTTTTGTTATAGATGATGAAAATATAGATGTGAACGATCAGTAGACTAATATCGAAGAAAATGAAGAGAACAATTTGTTTGGAATGAGCAAAAAAGTGTGTAGGGAACAAGCCCATCTTTAGGCATTGTCATTTTTTTATTCTTTATATTTTCTTTTGCTTTTTTATGCTTAATAGATAGGTTTTTATATGCTAAATCTAATAATAAATATATTTTTTCATTTTCCTTTCGTTTTTTTTTCAATCTCGATGAGAAACAAAGATATGTCAAAAATCCAAAACTAGTACTATTATTTCAAAAATATAAAACATGTTTGCATAATATAAGCATTAGATTTTTTTTCCTGTAGTTTTAATGCTAATGATTCACTCCACTTACACAAAATCTGTTAGACACGAACAAGATATGATTTTTTTTAATGCGTCTCTCAGACGGTCTGTTAGTATCAGCGCGACTATTTATATATGTTAGTACTTAAGGGTTAATCGCAAAATAATGGCTCAAAAACACAAAATATCATATTTCATCGCGAAATAATATCTCAAAGACATAAAATATCATGTTTTACGAACTTTTTGTAAAATATCATATTTTATATTTTTGAGCGATTAGTTCACGATAAAATATAAAAAATTGAGGAAGTTACCATATATACAATTTGAAGTTGAATTTTAACCTTGAATAACTTTCAATCGAGTCGATTAAATGAAAATTCACATCAGACCTTTTTTGAAGACCGTTCAATTCCCTACAAGAATATGTATTGATTTTTACAAAACGCTCATTTGTTAGAACGCAATAAAGTTCCAAAAAGGGAAATAGAGAATCACGATGAGACACCTTTTAATATTAATATTAACAGCTCAAACTTTATTAGAATTTTATTTATCATCTTGAACGATATTTTCACAACTAAAAGAAAGAAAATATTTTTTTGGTGCACTCTAAGCTAACATAGTTTAAATGGGACAATTGTAGATCTCTACTAGCTCTATTCATAGAGAGGTCAACCGTCATTTTACTATTAACCATTTTAAAAATATTTAGTACTTTTAGATTTTGCAAGTTTTTTTATCATGGAAGTTTGAAAAAATATATTTGATCATCTAATAGTTTTCGTGAATTTTCCTGACCGGTTAAAAGATGACCAATTTTATTTTTAAACATAACTCAATTATTTCAAATAGAACGAGGATCGCTCATTATCATATTTGAAAAAAAAAACATTCACTACCATTGAATACACTATACAGGGTGGTCCGAACTGTATTCCGGAAACTTTGGCAGCATATTCTGCAGATAAAAATAAATAAAAAAAGGTCGTATAAATGTATGTCCTAAAATGCTTTGTTTCGGAGATACAGGGTGTAGAAGTTTTACTTTAATTTCGATTTTTTCTAAATAATTTCTGAAGTAACGTTAATGTTTGGATGAAAATTGGTGTCTGGGAGTTCTTTGACATGAGAAATTTGATTTTGATGTCAATATAACTCCTACTTGTAGAGGGCGCCACCTACTTATTTTTTAACTTCTATAAACAGTAATAACTTTTGTCCGTACCTGTATAAAACTACTGAGTAAAAAAATATACATTTACGAGTTTTTTTGCGTAAAAAATGTCTCTCGGTAAAAATCGCTACAAGTAATGGTCCTCGAAATATTTGGAATCGAAATAATCAATCCTTGTCGTCATTGACATAAATTAAATACGTTGACTAAATAGTTATTAGACTGAAATCATAAATTTGAAATGTTTTGGCCGAAAGTTCAACAGAAACTGTTTTATCATTATTTTTTCGAAGAAAAATTTATTATTAATTTAAAAACAAAAAGTTCCCAAATTCAGTGAGACAACTATCTATTCAACATGTTTATTTTTGAATAGTCAATACATGTCAATAATGACATGTATTGACTGTTTCCATTCTAAATATCTTGAGAACGGTTGCTCTTAGCGATTTTTACTAAGCCATTTTTTACGTAAAATATCACGGAAATATTTTTTCACTCGGTAGTTTTATACAGATACGGACGAAAAGTTATTACTCTTCAAAAACAGTTAAAACACATGTAGGTGGCGCCCTCTACAAATAGGAGTCATATTGACATCAAAATCAAATTTCTCAAGTCAAAAACTCCCAGACACCAATTTTCATCCAAATATTGACGTTACTTCAAAATTCTTTGGAAAAAAATCGAAATAAATATGAAATTCTACATCCTGTATCTACGAAACCAAGCATTTTAGGACATACATTTATACGAACTTTTTACATATTTTTATTTGCCGAATATGCTGCCGAAGTTTCGAATACAGTTCGGACCACCCTGTATATTTGGTATTCCGAGTGAAATTCTCGTTATATTTATTGTCATGACACTCTCGATAGAAATTGAAAATATTATTTTTTTTTAAATATCAAAAATTGACAAGATGTATACCGGGTGTGTCTGAAAAGTGGCTCACCCCTATGAGTTTTTATTTTTCAGATAAAAAAACGAGATTTGGTATGATAGTATATGACATAAATTAAGATTGATTGCCGTATTTATTTTTGTTTTTGGTTTCCTGTTTCACCGGAAATAACTACAACTTTGATTTTTAAATGACACTCGCTATTTTTAACTTTATTCGATAGAAAATGGCACTCTGAATAGAAGAACTTGTCGTATATCAACTCTTGACATTTTCGCTTATGGTTGATTTGAAATTATAACGTGCGGTTCATAATAATAATTTCATTCGAAATACCAAGTGTGTAGAACCAAATTCTTCGTAAAAAAATGCTTTTCCAAATATGCTACTGAGCCACCCTCGTTCCATTTGAAAAATTTGACATATGATTAAAATTACGATTTGCGGGCATCTTTTAACCGGCCAGGACAATATAGTAGATACACTATAGTAAATACACTAGAAACATTAGACAATCAACTTTATTTTTCCAAGGCTCCTTGATTAAAAATTAGTGCTTCTAACACAACCATATCACTCTAGATTGAAGTTTAAAACACGACTTTTTTGAACAAAAATGTCAAAAGTGACATATGATATGTCATTCTATTCAGAGTGTCATTTTCTATCAAATAAAGTAGAAATATACCGAGAGTGCCATTTAAAAATCAAAAGTTGTAGTCATTTCCGGTGAAACACAAAGTGACCAAAAACAATTTAATACGTCAATCATTTCTAATTTATTTCTTATACTAACATACCAAACATCGTTTTTTATTTGAAAAAATAAAAAATGATATAGGAGTGAGCCACTTTTGAGACGCACCCGGTATAGTACAGAAACCATCCATATATTTAAGAGATACACACAATTAAAGAGATATCTACGGCATCGTTTACGGCACTGGTATTGTGCTTGAGAGATTGAATATAAAAAAATATTCCTATGTTAAATTCTTAATACTCACCAAGTATAGTGGCTACCACCTGGGGTAGTAAATCCCTTAACACTTTCTTGTCAGCCAGCATTGTTTACTATTATTTCTAACTATATTCACAACAAATATTCGGCTGTAAATCGTTAATAATATGATGATTTGCCAGATTTAAGAATACCATATCAAACCTGTATCTTTAATAGGGAAAAACGTACTGATGTTTTTTGAGTTGCTGCAAGATTTATACACATTTCACGCTTATAAAATGTTAGTATTGTTATTAGTAAATCAAATAGACATAAGCAGTATTACAAAGCAAAAAAAATATTCCGCGATTAAGTGGTATTGCAAACAAATTGTTAAAATTAAAGTCAATTGTTTTATTAATAGAGGCGCGAGTAAATATATATGTCAATTCTTTATTAAAATCAGTGTTCGTGACTGCTACAATAGTTTTGAACTATTTTATGACATTAAACTTTATTTAAGTGTACAGGGTGTCGCGTACAGGGTTTAAAATACGTATGACTATTCTTTTCTCTTTATATATTTTTTTTCTTGAAAAATGGTTAGATTTAAAAAATTCGAAGTTAATATGGCGTTACTACTGATTTTTTTTTAGAATTGGAAGTGGGAGCAACGACGTCGCTTTCCTATTAAAAGCGACGTCGTTGGATCCGAGTTGGTAAACCCAACGATCTGTCAACGTACAAAATAACAACGTACCATTTTTATTAATTTCCCAACGTCGTTCCCACATTGGCTTGCACGACGTACATATACTTTAACTAGCCCGACGTCTACCCGTTGTCCGAATAGGATACGTCTCACTGATAATCCCTAAAGTAACGTCCAATTATATTTTGTTGTATTTTATGTTCATATTTATAACCTAATTTACGTATCTCTATTTACGTCCGTAAATACAACCCATTAAGTAGCATTTGCGGCCTAATGAACATCATGAACATAACCTAATAAAAAGTTTTTGTAAACAAGCTTAATTTTTTTTATTATGCTTAAAAAAACACTAAAAAGGCATTTAGACATTCATCTACATTTTACAGAAAGAGGTCGAGGCTTTTGCAAAATAATAATAGTAGTAGTGATGTCTTGGCCTCCACCCACGAATGCTTTTTATCCGGAAGAGATGCTGCATTAATTTAATTGGTGCATCTTAATTTAATTTTTTAGCTTAGGAAACCAGCAGACCCCATCCTCCTCCCACATGTGAGGTACTGGTTCCAATTCTTTTAAATTTTGTGTATATACTATCTTAAAAAAGTGGCTGCCCATTTTTTTAAGGAGAAAACAAAAACTATAATATAGTTGCACAAATCCACAAATCACTGATACGCAAAGTGAGGTTACGTGACGTACGTTGGAATTATATACGTCATAATACGCTTGCCGGTCGTCCGGTTTGATGACTACGGTCGTGTGAGACGACTAATGTTGGAGACCCGGTCGGAATTGGTATATCGGTAGTTCATATTAAGTCGGACACACAAATCAGCCATTCTTAACAAGTATCCGATTGTCAACCATTTTAAAATCTTTTTTTGTTTTTAAGATTTATATTCACATTCCGATTTCTAGTAGAATAATATTGATAAGGTTGAGTTTGGGGGAACCACAGTACAGTTTTATGATTAAAACAGCTAGAAAATAAAAAAAATATTTTGCGAGTTACTTTATTTATAGATATTTTTATTTCATAAATCTACCTAATTTTGAAGGAGCTCGTTGTTTTCCGGAGTATTTTAATCAGATATATAAAAAAAGTGACTTTCGTTGACGAAACTGACGTCTGGATTATTATAATATGAAATTAGGTAGGCACTTATAGTTATATTCGAGGAGTGATTATGAATCCATTTGTAATTAGGTAGTTTGGTTAGGTTTATATGTATTCTTGGTAGCGAATATGAAACCAAACGTAACGTAAGTGCCTACCGATGAATTTTAAGTGACTAAAATTCAACTTCATACTTCATACTTCATACTTTCCGAATCGCTCATTTTTTAAACTAGTGACATCAATATTATTTACTGTCATATTGACATTGCCATGTATGGTGTTATTTGAACAAAGGTAATTGATTTACTTACTTAAGGTTACTTTACAGTACTTAAGGTAATTTATTTTTAGGATAGTTATATAGTTAAGTACAATCATTTTTAAAATTCATTGTGTGTTTTTATAGTTAGACGTAGATATAATATTGTACAATACACGCGAGTTAACTCCATCAAGATACTTCTGTGGTTACACAACTCGTGCTACGCACTCGTGCAACTTTCCCACGCATATCTTAATGATGATGTTAACTCACTTGTATCGTAAATATCTATTAAACCACCCCATTACCAAAAAAGGCGAAGATAGTTGAAAGAAATACTAATCCAAAAATGTAAAAGAATATACTTCATTAATTTTTATTTAATTACTACTTAAATAAGAACACGTATCTAGATAATTTTCTGTTCGTTATCTTGGAGATATGTTTAGAGTAATAAAATATTAAACAGAATTAACTCTAGTAAGATTCAGATGGCATTGAACTATAAATTAAAAAAACGACATAAATACATTAATAATAATGAAATTAAAACTAAATTAAAAAAACTAGTTTATTTTCGCACTGTGTAGAAAAATGAACGTGTATTAACTACCGAATATATTAATATTGATCGAATATTTGACAGAGGAACAAGTGTAAAAATTAACATAGTATGCAAATAAAAGTATGTTTCAATATATAATTAACATCGTGCTAATAAAATTGTTATCAGTTAAATGCGTCTCACGTGGATTACTTCTAGCTGTGGTAGACAGTGTATAGAGCAATTATATGAAATATGATTATTAGGTATTAAATAAATATTTTTTTTCTATAAATAGATCTCGTAATATTATGTAATACTTAATATTTATAGTTAATGACAAATTAAGTATTATTAAAAATACATACAGTATGTCCCCGAATTGTCTTTGCAAGAGGAAAAACTTTTTTATTATTAACATTTTGAGAAAAATGTATTTTTTATTAAAAATACATACGGTATGTCCCCGGATTGTCTTTGCAAGAGGAAAAACTTTTTTATTATTAACATCTTGAGAAAAATGTATTATTCAAGAAACTTTTTGCTCGTTCTAAAATAGTTAGTCCCGTTAATACTTTTCCAAATTTCAATACCGTTTTAGAGAAAATTTCAAAAAACATGCCAATATACTAGAAGCCCTAAAAATCAAAAGTCGTTTCTATGGAAATACAACTTCGATTTCATATATTGATAGAATTTTAATCAATATCATATTTGTTGCTGTTTTAAAATGTTAAAGAAGCACAAAATTTATTTAGATCAATGCTACGAAAAGGGTGATAATAGTTATCGGAAAATGTGATAATTTAACTACAGCAAAATAAATAATAAACATCTCTCAAGAATGAAATCGAAATTGTATTACCATAGAAATGCCTTTTCATTTTTAGGACTTCGAGCATATTTTCATGTTTTTTGTAATTTTCTCTAAATGGTGTGGAAATTTAGCCCTCTGACATTTTGGGTGAGTCTAAAGAGCATATCATTGTCTTGTCCCTGGTCCCTGACTGTAGCGTCGTTGTCATTTGCCAGGGAATTGCACTAAGACGTATTACGATGCCGGATAGGACTACCGACTACCCTGTGCATCACACCAGGCGCCCTCTACTATTTGTGGTCATGTATCACGGGCAGAGTGTGTGGGGCAATGACTAAAGAATATAAGGACATGTAACGCCCCTATACGGGCTGCAGCAGAATTTGTGACCTTAGACGCCTTTTCTTTTGGTGGCAAACAATGAGTCATCAGCTGGTCACCAACAACAATTTTAGCAATTTTTATTAGTTTGTGTGTAGTGAACTTTGTAACAACTTTATTACAATGCTGATTAGTTGTTCAGCTTTCAAATGTAAAAGCAGCAGTGACAAGAAAGAGCCAGGAGTTACGTTTCATAGGTAAATAAACAGTCCGCTCCACCTTTTTAGCGTTTTCTTAAGTTTTCTTATTGAATTAGATAATTATTTTTCTGATATTGTATGTACAGGGTGGGTCAAATTCGACGCTTTTAAATGGGAAACACCCTTTTCTATTGGAGATAGACGAAAACTAATATCGGTGTCTGGAGCTGAATTTTTATCAAAACATGATGGTGAAAACCGCACATCGATATCTGTTACCGTTTCGGAGTTTTTCAAAAATGTGCATTTTTAACAAATCGCTGTAACTTTTTTGCTATGGAAAATTTTGTATTTCTATGAAAACATTACCAAAGCACCTTTTGACGTAGAATTTAATGGTTTAAGTATAATTTTTTTAAAATTAATAATTAAAGAGTTATCAACAGAAAAATTGATTTTTTATTTGGGACACCCTCTATATTTTTAATTAACTGAAAAGAATTTAAAATTATCTTTCCAAAAATATAGCACACTTGATATTTTGTTATAATCCCCTTCGAAATACAGAATTTTTAATAGTTCGCCACTTTTAACTAGTAGGTTTTGGACCCCTTATTGATGATATGCCCTTAATGGAACTCGAAAACATATTTTTCCAGCAACACGACGCAATGCCTCTGAACGCTGAAGTTATCAGCAAATTTTTGCAGCCAATTTCAAATATAATTGAATAGCTGACTAAGATCCTAGCCGTTGGCCGTCGAGGTGGCCTGACTTAGTGCCCATGGATCTAATCCTATGGATATATTTGCGGAAGAATAAAGGTTCTTTATTCTTCCGTATAATCTAGACAAGAATTAGAAATAGTTAGCAGTTATGAGAGGGTATCTTTCACCCCCACTGAGTTAATGAATTCCGCGAGAAATGTTCAAAAACTGCCCCGTCTGTCCATAACTGAACAGAAGACGGTCGATATGTCGAACACCTGTAGCAAAATCTCATGTCTTGGTTTGCTATTTATTTTTATTGTTATTAGATATATGTAGTTTAAATGTGTTGATGTTGGTTAAATATATTTTAAATTGTTATAAAATTCGGCATCTCTCGTAGCAAATATTATTTTCGTTTTAATTGATGCTCACAGCTAGAATTTTTACCTAGCCGGTGCCGTTCAAAGCCTACTTATGTATTTAAAGCGGGCGAATTTTTATATACTCTATATCTCGAAGAGGAATCGAGCAAAATATCAAGTGTATTATATTTTTGGAAAGGTAATTTTAAATTCTTTTCAATAAATTATAAATATACCCAGATAAAAGAAAATTTGATTTTTTATATGGGGACACCCCCCATATAAAAAATCAAATTTTCTGTTGACAATCCTTAAATTATTAATTTTAAAAAAATTATACTTAAACCATTAAATTCTACGTAAAAAGGTGCTT